CGATGGGCTCATTGCTCCGGATAGCATGCGTAATGCCGTTTACGACCGTGATGGTTTGTACTTTCATGACCTTACTCACAGTTGATCGCTGAGTATGAGATAGTAGGACGTCAACAAGATCGAGGTCATCGTTTTGCACGGCCAACTCCAGCGCACAACGCAGCTCGGATCCTGTCGATAACTTTGTCCACATGGCACCCTGCTCGGTAGTAAGTGCGCAGACAGTGTCCCTCTTCCCCATGATGACCGCGACACTCAGAGCCTCTTGACGCCCCGATGACGAAATCACCCTGCTCTTGCGCTTGTCACCCGGCTTATAGGCGAGCTTGCAGATATTCGGGGTCTTGATCAGAGCGCCGATTACACCGCGGACCCAAGTAGAGCGCTGTTCAGGCGAGGTGTCACCGCTAACGTTAACGAGAACGTCGACAATCTTGTTGATATGCGTGGGAAGAACGTGATTGGCGCCGTACAGTGCGACCACTCGGTGCTCGAGGAAGGGTCTGAGTATGTTTCGCAAAAACGCCGACTCGCGCCTACCCAGGTTCCAATAGGCCGAGGCAGGCTGCTTGGCAAGCACCTCTGTTTTGATATGGTCGCCGAAAGTTCCTGTAGTCGTCAGCAATACTGTCCGTCATGAGTGGTGACATATAATCGATTACTGCACACACTGCGACGAAGCCAGGCTCGTCGGATGCCCTCCACATTGACATAGTGCACTATGACGCATTCGAAGATTTCAGTTGGAAGATCGAGCAGCTCCATGGCGGGATACGTCCGGTTGCGAAATGTTGTAGTTGCAGCAATGACGAGGGTTATACCGAAAGACTTGTTGACTCGCCGATCTTGTGTGTAGCGAAGCGCAGGCCCGCGAGCACGAGATATCCGCAGCTCGTGACCTTTAGAGTCTCCGCAATGGTAGGTGATCAAAACAAAAAGCGGGGTGTACTTTGACCTGGTCAATGCATTCACCGACGTCGAGGCGCTAGGTAAGATTAAGGTCTAAGGTCCTTGTCATGGGTTTAGGCTACGTAGAGACCCTATTATACCAATTCTCACACCGCCGTGCGGATATCACTAGTAAACGCTCATACGACTGAACTTCCCGTTGCCCCATCTTTATCATCACATTCTAGTCTTTTTCCAACAAGCCGCGAATGTGAAGATCGACCAACCTCAACAATTGTTGTGGGACGCTGTATATGAGATTAGCGGTTTGTTCAAGATTAATAGGGAAGCCTTCTGTGAGTTGAGATGGCTTACCCTTAGCGAAGAATGCGTAAGTGTCCGCGTTGTTGAGGTTATCCGTGGAGTTGAGCGTGATAAAGTTGTCATATCCGTATTTGACATCTCCGACACTGAACAATGCATGGGAGAGTTCATGCGTCATGGTCTTGGTCTTGTCGCCTTCATGACATTCTGGATGATCAATATGATACCACGCATCGAACCAAAACGGGCAGAACCTGACGTGAAGTTCCTCGCCAGCCCACACAGTCATCCCCAATACACCCGGTTCACAGCCGTCGAGGTTGTTGCAAAAGATCTTGACACGACCCTCGTTCATGTTCCGACATTCAGATCCCATTGCGAGAAAGCCGTCGTTGAGCTTCTTGCGAATCTGCTCAGTGTCGTCCTTGAAGAACTCCATGATCCGCGTGTGATTGCCAGCGTCGGAAAGCGAGTTCTGCCATGCGGAATAGGCGCGATCAGAGCACAGGCTGCGACATTGGTCTAGAATGTCGTACTGTTCGTGGGTGCAACCGCCTTGGAGGTTGAATTCCGCATTCCATACGCTTGACAGCCAAGTCTGACGGGTCGCGGCTGCTTCAGATCCATCGATGTTGACGGTAAGAGTGTTCGAGACGAAGGAGATGGTCTCTACGACCGATGATCCAGAGGTCGCATAGAGGAAGGTGCCTTGCGACACCAAATCGATCATACCGCCAGCGCCAAGATCGTAAACATTGGCGATATCGAAGTGGACGTCGACTGTCTCTGAGGGTGACAAAGCCCGGAATGAAGAGTCCTCCAGCTTAGTGACGTCGATATCAACGTGAATACCGTAGAAAGGTAGCTTGTTGCCTGTACAATGCATTAGTATCTGCTCCGCCGTGCATCGGAAGCGACCTACCATCTTTCACGACAGTGACCTTGTTGACGGCCAAGTCGCTTAGAAGACCATCAACTTTGACTAGGCGCAAACGCTCGGATCCGGTGTTCTTGATCGATATCTTGACATTGGTGTTGCCCGCCATTTCCAAGTTGACTTGGACTTGAGGCGAAGAGGAAGCCGAATTTGATGTACTTGGAAGAGATAGAGCACCTGTAGCCAACGCGAACGCTGCAAGTAAACTAGAGTAGAGGAACTTCATCGCTTCTAGCTGTTCAATCGGTTGAGGTGACGTATAGGGGAGACGAAGTCTAGGAAATGGTAGTATGATCTATACAGTACAAAGATATGACAAGAAGGATACGCAAGAAACAAGGAGTCAAAGGTTGTAAAGGAGGAATATATAATACATAGGGGACGATCTACCAAAGAGGTGGAGTGAGGAAGGATCTCGTGATTGCCCCAGGGGCTAACGTCCACCTGACGACTTTGACGGGGACTTTTTATCCTTTACAGATGAGTTTATACCATTGTTTTACCATGAATAATACCTACTATAAGCCAACTGCGAGGCCGTTTGGCTGGTGTGTGGTAGGCCCGTCCTGTGACCTTACTATGCACTGACCCCTTGTCAGCTCCTTCACTACTCTTTCCCAGTAAATATCTTGCTCAGTCATCTTCTCCAACGCGCCAAAAGGAGCATAGACTAGTTCCAATCTTTCACGAGATAAGTTCTCGTCTTGCGACTAGCGTAGCATGATCAGCTGAATACGTAACACTCCCATCACGTCAGCAGAACTTGTCAAGTACCTTCATGGACTACAATCATGATTCGACGGCCCAGAGACACCTGAGCAGTCTGTTTGCCGCGAACATGCAGTTCACCTCTTTCATATCACATATTCAAACCGAGCACTTGGTGCATACATCATCGTTATACATACAACCTGGTCAAGGTGTTCTGACCACGTATCCTCCTGCCTCAAACTCAGAGACTCAACTCCACAGACCACCAGTTCTCACCCACCAACACAGAATCCAACATCTCACCCTTCTCGATGCCTCTACGGCCAAGAACAGCCTCTAACAGAGGGAAAGTTCTCCTCGCAGGGCCACCATGGAAAATCGTGACGAAGAACCGAATCCGCTTACCCAGTTTCTCCACCTCATCTCTCGCCCAAGAAATGTAGCGCAGTTCTTGAAGTTCTGCCAGATCTCCAGTGTCGTAGTACTCGTATTGGATTTCGACCGCCCAGTACGTATACCTGTCCTTGGCCATTCTCTTGATGGCCCCAGCGAACTGGAAGCGACTTGGCCAGCGCATTCCATAATGGACTGTAGCCTCTCGACGCATATCTCGGTTTTGACAAAGGTTTGGCGATGCGCGTGTATATAGCTTGAGAGCTTTGAACAGCTCCCAACCCAACTGTCTGGTGGTCACCTTGGCCGAACTTCTGCCTTCTCGCTTCCTTCTCTCGTTCTCGACAGGGTACTGGATGACGACCCGCATGAACGAGTTTAGTGTGCGTTTTGCAGTTCGGCTGAGTCGCTTCGTTACTTGGAGATCGACTTCCGCGGGAGTGAGTTCAGCGAATAGAGATTCAGCCTCTCGGCATATTGCTTTGCAGGCGAGTAAGAGGTTCGTAGACGATTGGTGTTGCTCCAGACGTCCTCGTGGGTTGATGGAGCCGGGCGCGGAGGTGCTTTGTGCCGATCGGCGTGAAGAGTGTATGAAACACATGTCAAGTGCGTAGTAGTAGATCCTGTTGCGGATTTCTCCGGGCAACTGGAACAGCGGACTCTGGGTTTGAGCATGCATGGCTGAAGTGGTGTATTCGGAGAGCTCCGCCATCTCGATCGTCGATCTTGATGAGTGTCAGCTTGTGTGCGCGCATTACGAAGAGGCTGGTTTCTATAAACTCCATTTGAGTAAACCAAAGCCTGATCGTAAGAGGTTTGTCCTACGTTAGCACAGAATGAATTAGTAAACATCGACTTCCACTACGCTACACAACAAGTTCTGGCGTTCGCTGTCACAAACCAAAATCCGAATGCTTGACTGAAAAGTATCGCAAATGAAAGAGCGCTCGATTCATTAAGGAAAGTAGTACTTACTGGTCTCGTAGCGGGTGTGACTGATCGAAAAAAATGAATACGCAGCACTGGAGATCAGAATAACAAGAGCGTTTGCGACTAGCGCGGTGTTACTAGATGGTTGCCTGGCAAACGGACGGGCACGCGTTGATGACGTCGAGAAGATAACGTGGGAAATGAGCAGCCAAACAAGGCTCTCGGTCTGAGAAGGAGATCTCGCAAAGAGCGGCGAGTATAACTTGGAGAAGGCTGCTGAGATGTGACAGGACGACAATGACAGGGAAACTACCTACTTACATCATGTCCTTCTGGCTACGGTTACCATCTTAATAGCCCATCGCATTGAGCCCGTGTACTCAAGCATTGCCACGAGCATAAAATTCCTGGGTGAACCGCGATCTTGTGACCAGCTTTCGATCACCTGAAGAAGCAACGTTCTCCTGTCGCGGTGAAGGCATATTACCACAACATAGACCCTGCATCACATGTCTTCCCATTGCTATTTTACTTGCTGCTGCCTACCTTCTCTTTCCCTGTCACAACCTCATCGCCGGGAACCTCTTTTGCAGGCACCAGGGAAAACATGACCGAAAGCATGGAAACTGACTGTTCGGATAGACATCGAGCTGCCTCGCCAGCATTGACGGACACCTCGGAGCTGACCACACTATCAAGATCTCCAAGCCCGATCCCTGAGTACAACGCCTACGCTTCTCCCAAGAAGTGCCAAGCCATTTCGAGCGCATCAGCTGGGCAGGAGCAAGGTGGCTTCGGAGCCCTCGATAGGATCCCCATGGAGTTACGACAAGACATATACAGCCTCGCGTTCGATATCGACGAGCCTGTCGTAGTCAAGGAGTGCTGCCACCCCGGAACAACCAAGCGGATGCTCGAGCTATGTCCCAAGCATGGCGCCAAGGCTAAATCTGGAGCAGGTCGTTTTAACATCCTCCAGGTCTCCAAAGCGATCAGGACGGAGGCGATGTGGGTCGTCTTCGACAGAACCCCTCTTCACCTCAATACAGAAGGCAGTATAAGCAAGTACTACACCACCCTCCCCCGCCCGCGTACTCTCCGCAAGGTCATCGGCTACAGGAAGCCTACTGCATGCAAGAGCGCAATCTGGAAGACAGCCAATCAGTTCAGTACCATCAAGATCGATCTCTCAGAAGACCTCCTCCAATATGGTAATCCGTACGCCTTTATCGATCGTCTGGTATGCATCGTAACCCTGCTGTGCAAGGAGCAAGACAAGGACCATGTCGTTTCGAAATCTGTGCACCTGAACCTCGGCAGCTTCTTCCAGCAAATGCTCCCTTTCAACGAGAAGTCCCAGCTAGATGGGCGGTATGGAGAGTATCTCGACTGGTTGTTCTTCCATTCCGACACCCACGAGCCAGACCACGACAAGCTCGCGAAGGGTATAGTACGCAGCCTGCAGCGACTGGTGGCTACGATTGGCAAGCATTCTGGCCGCGAACAGTGGAAGATCTTCGTGAAGACTGAGATTGCGGAGGAGGACGAGGGCGGTGCGAAGGCGCTGTTCGATTTCCAGGTCGATTGCGCGGAGCAAGGTGTCGAGGTTTGTCAGATTGAGGGCTGACGGTCGTAATATGTGGTAAGGTAGCGTGGGGTATCTGAGCTTCCGCGAAAGCCAATGGGACTGCTCCAGGTGAGCATTGAAGGCGTAGCGAGGCTTCAGAAAGGGCGGGCGATCATGGTGTGTAATCAAGGACAATGGACGGAGCACTGAAGCCGCAGAAAAAGTCGGCGGTCATGTTTAGTAGGGCGCCGGCGCGTTCGTAAGGGGTGCGGGAGGTCGTCTCACGCCAGATCGATTACGGGGTTGCAAACGTCAGTATAGCATAAATGAACAAAAGCGTGACTTCCAGCTACAAATTTGACTTGTACGAGTGCGCTTGGGCAAGAACCGCGAAGCAATGCTTTGAATCGCGTGATTTCGACGCGTATTTGGCATGGGTATCCGGTCGAGGAGTAACGACGCGACTGCCGGAGATGCACAACGGACGCTAGTTACGTCATCCATCCTCCATGGATTCACGATCAGGGGTAATGACACCCGCGCAACACCGTCCAACTAGCAATTTTTGAGACATAGAATTGTAGCTTCAGGAGTCTCAAGCATGGCTACTTTGAAAGACCACAGCCTGCCTATCCCAAAAGGCTAAGCCTCTCAAACATCTTCACCACAGGCGCCTCCCTCTTCTTCCCAACCTCCTGCAAGCTATCCCAAAGCGTCGCATCCCCACCAGTAGGCTTCATCGCCTCGCCCTCAACGCCGATCGGTGCCCCAATGGTAGCCTCAGAGCTTCCAGCAGCCGCAGGTGGATACATCTCCTTGATCGCCTCTTGACACCGTTCCATAACCTCGTTAACAGCGTTGGAAACGGCGTCAGCACGCTCTCTCATACCCCGTCTAACCAAACCCTCAACAAGACGTTGGATCTCTTCTTGCATGCTGTTGATGCGCTCGATGAGGCGTTCGATGGAGTTGGTGAGATACTCCTCTTCGTATACTGTACCCTTCTTACCGCGCGCACGCTTCCTCTCTTCTCTCCGCTTGTTCTTGCTTGTCTTGCGCGTCGTTGTTGTGTTGACCGTGCCAGTCTGGTTTGTGTACCTGGTCATGAACGTGCCACCACTTGTTGTATCTGTGGGCGCCAAAGAGATATTGTCGGGGATATTGGCATCGGCAGGACCGTCGATCATGCCTTCGTAGAATGCCAGCGGATCCTCTGCTTTCTTGGCCCTGAGTTCCTTGAGTCGGGGTACTTGTGCTTGCAGTTGACCCTTCATGTCGGCGAGGAACTCAGTCATGTCTGCGCTACGCTCGACGAGGCCGGGGTCGATGACTTCGGTGATGAGAGTGGGCTCGCGGCGGAGTGTGACGATGCGGATTGCTTCGGCGAAGTGGCAGCCTCGGCATAAGAGACGTGCCGCGGACGCAAGGTCGGAGAGGTAGTCGAGTGTTATTGATGAAGCTGACAGGTAGTCTTTGGACTCTGTAAGACCTTCCGCAAGATCTGTCGCAATGCTTGACAGTTCATCCGCGCTTACGTCGGCGAGGATAGCAGACGATAAAGCCTCACGCCAGAGGTTGGCTGAACGGTAGCATGGCCAAGCGGAGGCATGGTCGTTGAGGTATTCGTACGCCAATGCAGCTTCTTTGTTCTTGTTGTTAGCACTCAAGAAGTCTGCATACAACCTCATGATTTCCTTCAGCCGGGTGCTGTCGTATTGGTACATGCTCAAAGCTTCAGGGTAGAGATCATGCTTTTGCACATAGTCTTGTACCTCATCGTAGGCTTGAAGATCCTTGAGATGAGTGAGCGCTTTCGCTCTTCGTCCGAGCTGGTCGTCGATCTTGAACTTGCGACGAGTTTCGGGCAGATCTTGCAAAGACTGCAGGTGTGGCAGATACTCTCGCGGATCCTATTGAGGGTCAGCTACCAATGCGACCCATGCATTCGATCAGCATACCTTTTGTGACTGTTGAGCGATAAGCAGGGCGAGGTCAAGGTTGTACAGTCCCAAAGATGTGTCATATAGTTGGTTGACGTCTGCAAGGAAGCATATGTGTTCGGCGGCCTTATCAGTGAGGGGATCGCTAGATGCTGTGACATGTTAGAACTGCGGAATACGCAAATATATATGACTTACCTTGTAGACGACCTATCATAGCAAGACCTGTTTCCAGAGCTGGTGGTGTCTTGGAGACATGGGCTGTGATGATGTTTTGCAGGTGCGCGTCCTTATACTGAGACTTCTCTAATACGGCCAGGAAAGCGTCGCATATCCGGTTCACTTTGTTCTCGACTTGGTCTTGGGAGAGCTTTGGCTTCGTAGCCATATCTTTCGTCTTCAACGTTTCCGTGTACATGGTCTCCGACACGTCCTCGTTACTTGAACAGTTAGCAACTATGTTCTAAGATGTATGGTTAATCGCTTACCGGAGCTGCGCCAGGAGCAAGTCAATATGTTCGATCTTCTTGATCTGTGAAATAATCTTCTCCAGACTCGCCATGAACCGCTCCGGATCGTGGTCATGGAGAATGTTCAGATCGACGCGCTGATTACGACAAGCAAAGAAGGCTTCATCGTAACGCTCTGCCTCAATGTTGCGACGGATAGCAGCAAGCACAAGCGCTCGAGGATAGATCGTCTCAAGATTACCTCTTGGCATCTGCAACACGACTGAGTATGTCGTAGGCATCACAGTAACGATCTTAGCTCCTCTTTCGATACTCCTGCATCTCTCATCCTTTTGTGGCTCGTCTGCGGGTACCTCGAGTTCTAGTACATGTCAGTACATGCGTCTGGTCTCATGATGCAACTTGGACTTACCATCTGCACTTGCAAGATGCACAAACTTGAGTAGATGTTGTGTCGTCGTGAATATGAGATGCGCAGTGGTAACCACGAAGGACGTGGAGTTGCGGACCAGAATGCGCTCGTTGGCGTATAGTACTCCACTCTTTGTTAGTCCAAATGCTAATGTCTGGACATGTTAGCTAGCTGATACGACGTCGCGGGGAGTATGTTTGCGTACCTGGCCTTCAACATCGATCACTTGAACCTCGGGCGCAAATGAAGGAAACTTCTGCACAAAAGGCGTTAGGGGAGCACAATCCGATCTCAGCTCATCTACAACGACCTGATGTAATGCACCATTCTGAAACTCGATGTACGGCGTTTCTTGATGAACGTTGGAAAGAAGTATGGACGCATTCTCGGTCTCCATTATGTGCCCTTGAGGTAGTAACGCATCGCCTTCGGACTGCCAGAGCGAGCTTTCCTCTTCGTCCCAGCTGTCTGCTAGTACGAAGATCTGATCATCACCAAAGAACGTGACGTGTCGTGGTGAGCCATGACTTATCGCATCACTGCGCCAGAGGAGACTAGGCTTGGGTATAGGTCGCTTGTTGAGATCGAGAGCATATACGGCAAGGTCGCTGTCGGAGAGCACTGCCAAGCGATTGCCAGATTTTGAAAGCGCTACGTCCATGGGTTTTGAGTCGAGAGCCAGAGTGTGAAGTGACATGGGAGGTGGCACATTCGCGATGCGAAGTGGTGTGAGTTTCAGGGATACTTGAAGTAGTCAGTATCAGAAAAACCACGTATACAGAGTGCATCACTCACATCCATCTATTGATGCGACCATGCCGAAATCGTTCGGTGGGGCGACTGAGCCGGCCGAGATTGTGGACGCGTACTCAAGCACTTGAAGCGCATCTGGAATGTACTTAGTCATATCGACCTTACGTTTACGAGGGGCAACTTACCTGGAGTTGACAAAGCTACTGCGAGCGGACGCTCAGCATGCCAGCTACATATGACTGTTCGAGAAGCAGCTTCCGGAAATCGAAGTTCTTGCTTGAGATAGTAGTGGTAGTTACTCATCGTCCAAAGTTGTACTTTGTCAGGATATGATACAGCTAAAACGTTGGAGTCGCTATTCCACTTGAGTGTTAACGGAATCGAGAGAGCTGCAAGCTCTTCCGGGGTAAAACGAAGATCGAATTGGCCGTGGCGAAGACCATTGCGCTCGAAGAACACCACTTCAATCTTATCTTCGGTACGACGGGTACTCGCAATCAGGTTACCTGATGGTCGCCAACTGAGAGCTCCTTCAAGGCCGTCCACAGGCTCGCTCACACTGTCCAGCTGTCCTTCCCGAGAGTAGACACGGATCATGCGACGGCGTTCTTCCTCGACCTTGCTTACTGCAAACCATGCGCCGTCACCTCTCCAGCTTATTGTGACAGAGCGATCGTCGAATGGGCTAAGTACACCCTCGTCGATACTTTCTGGTACTGTTGGATCTTGCAGTGCTCTGGCTCGTTTGCCTTTAAACTGTGTCTCTTTCTTTCCCCAACCCACAGAGACATGACTGGAGACGTTGACATCTTCGGGGGTGAGATTGATGCTCGCAATGTTTTCGATATCGCGGCTCATCAATAGTAAAGTGTCCGCCTGTGTGGTGATGGCGAGAAGTTCTTCGTCTGGTGACCACGCCGCAGCAGAGATACCGGCATCGACTGAGCCCACGATCTCAACTAGCTCTTCTGTAGATGATGGGTCCTCTCGCACGAGCACGATGTCTCCTCCAGCCAAAATTAAACATGATGTCGAAGTGTCGGCGAAATGGTGCAGGCTCAAGATTGAGTCATGGGTAAGCGAGGGCAGCGGGCATGGCGCATCCCACGATGCGATGCTTTCAAGCTTTTCCTCGACGCCGTTGCGAGTATGATGCAGTCTCTTGAGTTCGATGGTCGCACGTGATTCCGAAGGGCCGAAGGCGCATACCAGCGCATTTGATGCGGCGTCCCATGCGGTCGCCGTTAACGGTAGTGGCTCGTCTCCGGAAAATCGCAGGAGCGACCTTCCTACAATCTTGAGGTTTCGCATTGCCGAAGAATCATGGACTGTGTTCGTGGCAATGTTGCGTCCTGTTGCTCGAATGACTGGTCACTAGCCCCGTTGGCAGAATCGCGCTTCCGAATTTTTGGTGATGCTAGCGCCGAGCTTCTACCGAAGGGTAACGCAACGCATCTCATCGTCATCAAGGTGTTGCAATTGAAC